GCACCCAGCACTAGTGCAGCTGGCACCAGATGAGGCCCCTGGCAGCTGCCCGGCAGCCCACCCCTCTATTCAGCTTCAATGCCATGAGAGGGGGCTGGGCCCAGAGCTTCAGGGCGGCTCTCAGCATGAGGGAGAAGGGGTCAAGTAAAGGAAAAATCAGGAGGGAAAGCTGAAGACAGTCTAACGCCTGGGGGTGGAGGTGGAACAGGTAACCAGGTCTTCCTGGGGACAGACGGGCGTGATGTGAGAGACGCATCCAAGGCCCCTTGTTTGACTGGGACAGGTGAGCGACTTCACAATGTGGGGATGGACTTGGAAGTGAAGAGAGAAAGAAAATTCGTGCTCTGTAACAGGGTTGGCGCTCTTTCTACCATATGTCATCATAATATTTCAATCATCAGATCTGAACTAAATACAGACTAATTGACCAAATAATATTTTAATGACAACAGCAGTGGCCCCCAGCAGTGCTCCAATTTATGCACAACGTCGAGATAAATTACATCTTTTGACTTGCAAAGATATCTAATTAGGAAGATTTCCAGATATAAAGAACCATCACGGTAACGCATGTCATTTCATCACTCTAAAGTCCCTCGTTAACATATGAAAATGTTACTGTTTAATAAACTGCTAATGTCAGATGAGGTCCTGAAGATGGGACATGGGTGAAGCTGCTGCCCAGTGGGCAGCTCAGCTGATTCATCACCTGATGGCACTGGATGTGGCCATTCCTCCGCCTCCAGATGGAGTCACCAGATGGATATTTTGCCATACAATAATCTTTCTTATTTCACTTTATTGTATTCTGACTCTCTAGCTGGGTAGAGCTGGGAATCAGTATTTGTGTTAGGATGAGATATTAAGATTCTCTTGGAGCGCTGGTGTTTAACATAGTTTATCTTAAAGGCTGCCTCAAGGTTGCTGCAAGATAAAACTGCCTGAGGGAGTCTGTCAATCAGATGCAACCATGGTAACAGAGGAAACTGCAAAATGGCCATAATTCTGCAACTTTGCCCAAAATGAGGACAAAACCACCCTGTATCCAATACAGTACATACACTGGGTTTTGCAGTGGCATGAAGAAATGCCTTATGGAGTTGGCCCAGTTTGGGAGGTAGCAGAAACAACATCTCAGTGGGTTTTGCAGGAAGAATAGGAGTTTGCTGACAAATTTCATGCTTCCTTTGTAGACAATGGGGAAGTACCAGAGGGCACGGAGCAGGATGATAAAGTGAGGAGCTCTATACTAGGGAGGGTGGATTTGCCGCAGAGGAGGGGTGGGCAGAGGGCCAACGCAGGGGAGGGGACCACTTAGAAGAATGCCACATTGTTTTCAGACGGAATTTGCAGGCTCACTGGGAATGCTGGGTTGGACCCTACACCAAAAATTACATGGAACAAGAACTTCTGTGATAATGCTAAGCATATGTGAGACTGTGATGATCCTAACACCGGAACTTTTTGATAGAAAACCAGTGATCACTGCAGGGAGTTACTACCATCTCCCATCCAACATGTGTTACCGTGACTGCTGCTAATGTGTTGAAAAAATAAAAACAGACAATGGAGGCCTGGCAAGGTGGCTGAGGAAATCACACGTGTGAGAGATGGGCTGACGGAAAAGTCCAAAACCCCTTCAAGGAGCATCCGCGCCATTCCAAGGTTTCCAGAGCTTCAGAGCCATGGACTGTCTACTCCTGTTTCTCTGTAACCCCCGACAACCCCAGTTTTAATTTCCATTCTCTTTCCCCCTTATCCATTGACTATTTCATTTATTTTTGACTCAAATATGCCAGGCATACTTGAGAGCTGAGATGCACGGTGAGGTAAGTAGAGCCAGCACCATCTCATACCGTCGCTCCTGTCTTCCAGTGAGGGAGAGAGCCAGTAACCACACAGCTGGCGAGGGACGTACAACTGGGACACATACACCCAAGGAGACGCCAGGTGCCTCTGAAGGCTGAGAGTAGACATGTCCTGCCCATCACACCTTCCTCGCCTGTGTCAGAGCTACATCTAAAAGCTAGTTCCTGGCCAGGTGCAGTGGCTCATGCCTGTAAATCCCAGCACTTTGGGGAACCGAGGCGGGTGGATCACAAGTTCAGGAGTTCGAGACCAGCCTGGCCAATATGGCGAAACCTCATCTCTACTAAAAATGCAAAAATTAGCCGGGCATGGTGGCATGCACCTGCAATCCCAGCTACTTGGGAGATTGAGGCAGGAGAATCGCTTGAACCCAGGAGGCGGAGGTTGCAGTGAGCTGAGATCATGTCACTGCACTCCAGCCTGGGTGAAAGGCGAGATTCCATCTCAAAAAAAAAAAAAAAAATCTAGAATTCCTAATTTCCATCATATTCACTCTGCTTCATTCATTTTTCAGTTTATTTGTTTGTTTATTCATTTGCTTGTACCTTTGTTCACCTGCCAATTCATTCTTTTAACGTTCAATCAGTTATTCATCCATTAGCTACACACAGGGCAGGCACAGAAGATACAGCCCTCTTGTCTCAGCTCAGCTACAAGGCACAGAGGCATAACAAGGCTAAGGAACATTGCACAGGAGTCATAAACAGGTGCTACGGGCACACTGGCCAGTGAAAGCTGACCTGGTGTGGGGGGGCTCGATGAAGGCTCTGCAGAAGAGGCCCTGACAGGTGCCAGGGAATCACTTCCATAATATGCAACACACACACACACGCAAACCTGATCACATCCATAATATGCAACACATGCTCACACGTTCCATGTGACGTGCAGACAGGACCCCTGCCCCATGGAAGTCAGAGTCAAAACGGGGAGTAGAGAGGAAGCAAAGGCTGCATCTTGTGTCAAGTGCCACGGAGGGAATAGCCAAGTACTGCGGCGTCTCGGGGGCCTTCTATGGAGAAGGTGGTGGCTTCAGGGCCTGGCGCCTGCAGGAAAAGAACCGGGGGAAGCACCTTGCAAGCACGGAGAGAAACTGTGGAAAGTTACAGAAACTGTCAGGAAGCCAGTGGGCTGGAGCAAAGGGTATCATCAGATGAAGTCAGCAGCTTGGGCAAAGCACTGCAGGTGGAGGGAAACTTTTTAAATTTTTTCCTGTATGTGTCAAGAAGCCACTGAAAGCTTTCAGAAGACTTTTTATTGACAGGATTCTATTTTTATCTTTTTTTAAAATTTATTTTATTGCATTTTAGGTTTTGGGGTACATGTGAAGAACATGCAAGATTGTTGCATAGGTACACACGTGGCAGTGTGATTTGCTGCCTTCCTCCCCATCACCTATATCTGGCATTTCTCCCCATGCTATATCTTTAAAGAAGTATACTGGTTGGGCCCTCAAGCCCATAGAGGGGTCATATTGCAAGGAGAAAAGACCGCCCTTTCCTCGGCCGGGCGCAGTGGCTCACACTTGTAATCCCAGCACTTTGGGAGGCCAAGGCAGGCAGAACACGAGGTCAGGAGTTTGACACCAGCCTGACCAACATGGTGAAACCCCATCTCTGTTGAAAATACAAAAATTAGCCAGGCACAGTGGTGCGCGCCTGTAATCCCAGCTACTCGGGAGACTGAGGCAGGGGAATCACCTGAAAGCAGGAGGCGAAGGTTGCAGTGAGCTCAGACTGTATCACTTCACTCCAGCCTGGGCGACAGAGCGAGAATCTGTCTCAAAAAAAAAAAAAAAAAAGAAAGAAAAGGAAAAAAAGAAAGCGAAGAAAAGACCACCCCTTCCTCTAAGTGAAGAGGCAGATTCCAACCCTTGGCCAGGCCGCCATGCAGGGCAGAAGGTGCCCTGATTCTAGCTGCTGCAGATGCTGGGGGAAGGCAACTGAAACCAAAGAGGTGGCCATACTGACGGGTATGAGGGAAAGAACTGCAGATAACTTCCGAAGAAACAGCTGGTGGGCTCTGATGTGCATGGGTGGGGAGGTGAGGGAAAGGGACTGCTGTATGCTCCATGCATCTTGGTTCTATTATCTTTGTGGCCCACGTGCAAGCTTTCAGCTCTACAGAAATGCTAAACAACTACAGATTTCCCATCGTACGTATGCCAGAGATCAAATGCTTCCCAGAAATTCTTGGTTGTTCTGTCTTCTGCACGCATGCAATGGTGCAATGAGGTCTCCCTTCCGAGATGCACAGGGCTCTCTGCAGGGTCAAATTCCAGAGCCGGGATTCCCGAGTCAAAGCGTGAATTGACCTATCATTGTCTTAACTCTGACAAATTACCCTCCTGGGTGGGGGTGGGGGAGCACTGTACCATTTTACACTCCTCTTTTAGCAAAATATGAGAAGGTCTGTTTCACCCCAGCTTCAGCAAAAGAGGGTGTTCTCCAGTTTGTGGGGTTTTGCCTGATATCGACAAGTGACATACAATATCTTGCTGTTGTTTTAACTGTAATTTCTGTTACCACGAGGTTCACAGTGTTTTCATGTGGTTAGGCCATCTGAATTTCTATGAGCTCTCTGACCCCACCCATTTTTCTTTTGGATATTTGTGGTCTTTTTCTTATAAACTTCTAGGATGCAAGAACTATTTGGGATCTGAATTGGAAATATTTCTCCCAGTTTGGTATATTGCTTCTGAGTTTGCATGCTTTCTTAGAAATTTTATTTTATTTATTTATTTATTTATTTAGCCATGTAAAAGTTTTTGCTTTGATATAGTCACATTTATCAAAATGTTATGGTGGCAAAGAATCCTATATGAGCTGCTAAAAAGGAATGGGATGGGGGAGGTGGTTCTTTGGTCCAGATTTAGAGAGATCTCCAAATGTATCATGAAGTGGAAAAGGCAAAAGTACATAGTTTACCCCTTTTTCTCCATGAAAGAAAGTGGGCATGTATGCTCTTATTTGTTTATATTTTCATAAAGGAACTATGATAGGTTATTTTATATGTCAGCTTGGCCAAGCTCTGGTGCTGAGTCATTCGGTTAAACACTAGTCCAGATGTTGCTGTGGCTGTCCTTTTTAGATATGATTCATATCTACAATAAACAGACAGGGTTAAGCAGATTATCCTCCGCACTGCGGAGGGCCTCATCCAGTCAGTCAAAGGCCCTCAGAGCAAAGACTGTGGTTCCCCAAGTAGAATGAATTCCTCTCAGGACTGTGACACAGAAAGCCCACCTGAGCTTCTAGCCTGAAGAATTCAGACTGACAAATGCAACTTCCTCATCTACTGAACCTCCAGCCTCCCTGCTGCCCTGCAAATATCATACTTGCCAGCCCCCACAATCAGGTGAGTCCATTCTTTAAAAACAAAAAAATCAGGCTCTGCTGGGCGTGGTGGCTCATGCCTATAATCCCAGCACTTTGGGAGGCCAAGGTGGGAGGATCACAAGGTCAGGAGATCGAGATCATCCTGGTTAACACAATGAAACCCCACCTCTACTAAAAATACAAAAAATTAGCTGGGCCTGGTAGCATGTGCCTGTAATCCCAGCTACTCAGGAGACTGAGGCAGGAGAATTGCTTGAACCCGGGAGGTAGAGGTTGCAGTGAGCCGAGATTGCACCATTGCACTCCAGCCTGAGTGACAGGGCCAGACTCAGGCCCCCCCCCAAAAAAAAATCAGGTGTGCTCTCCCCACCGCACCCCCCGTCTGTATCTTCCTTTCCTCTCATTGGTTCTGTTACTCTAGAGAACCCTGATTAACACAGGAACACTTGGAGGACTCAGAAAAAAAAAAAAAAAAAAAAAAAAAGTTGATAAGTAAATGTCTAAAGGAGCTGGGATTTTCTGGAACACTATTTTGAGACACAGTGTACTACATTTGGAGAATAATGGTATGATTTATAAACACTGGGAAGTTGACATTAGAATATGATTTGGACTGTAGATAAGTTAACGTCACCTTATCTTGGTGTCAAAATGTGTTAAATTTGAGGTACCACAGACCTTGTATTTGGAAGCATTGAGAAAGTTGCATATTTTGTGGAAGTGTAGCTAAGACGAGAGGTTTGGAGAGCAAGATTAATCTGGAGTTATCACCTGGGGGTGATCACTGAATTCATAAAGGTGAAATAATAGGGAAGAGAGAATTGAGTGGAGCGAATGAGAGAATGTTGGGAAATGCCTGTGAGAGAGAGAACTGGCAAAGGCTAAGAAAAAATGGTCAGGCAGAAGGAGAATTAGGATCTTGCCTTTTCAGCAAACTAGAATAGGACTCTGCAGAGTCAGGGAGTGCTCAGCAATGGCAAATGCTGCAGAGAGGCAGAGGTGTGGGGGAGCTTTAATAAGGCATTATCACTGGCTTTGGAAAGAATTGTTTTACTAGAGCATGGTAGGTGCTGAAGCCCAATTTAAGGAATCTTGGAGTGACTTTGGAAAAAGCATGAATAGGAGGTCCTTCCCATCCCTGGCTAGAGCATTGTTAATAATAGAAAAGAGAGATTTCATGACAGTTTAGAGGAGGAAAAGGCTCCGATTTCCTTTTTTTAATCTTTACATTTTACTCAACACAGGGAAACTCTTTGCCTCCAAACCCAAGAGCTATGTTTGTTTGTTTGTTTGTTTGTTTATTTGTTTTCTTTTTTAAGGGCATGGGCAAATCGAACATGCTTAAGTAGAAGAAAAGAAGCAGAAAAGAAGGGATGATGGAGAGGGAAAGATACTTTCTTTTTGTTTTTTAATAGAGATGGGTTCTTGCTCTGTTGCCAGGCTAGAGCAGAGTGGTGCAATCACAGCTCACTGTAGCCTCAAACTCTTGGGCTCAAGAGATCCTCCCACCTCAGCCTCCCAAAGTACTGGGATTGTAGGTGTGAGCCACTGTGCCCAGACCTACTACTAAATTCACTGGAACGCTAGGTGATTCTTAAATGTTAGCCTAGGCCGGGTGCAGTGGCTTACATCTGTAATCCCAGCACTTTGGGAGGTCAAGGCAGGTGAATCACCTGAGGTCAGGAGTTTGAGACCGGCCTGGCCAACACAGTGAAACCCCGTCTCTACTAAAAATACAAAAATTAGCTGGGCGTGATGGTGGGTGCCTGTAATGCAAGCTACTCAGGAGCACACTGAGGCAGGAGAATCGCTTGAACCTGGGAGGTGGACGTCGCAGTAAGCCAAGATTATGTCATTGCTTTGCAGCCTGGGAGACAAGAGAGAAATTCTGTCTGAAGAGAGAACAAGAGAACGAAAAGAAAGAGAGAGAGAGAGAGAGAGAAAGGAAGAGAGGGAGAGAGAAGAAAAGAAGGAAGGAAAGGGAGAAAAGGGAAGGAAGAATGGGAGGGAGGGGAAAGAGAGAGAGAGAAAGAAAGAGAAAGAAAAAAAGAGAGAAAGGAAAGGAAAAAAAGGTAGTCTGCATCAGAATCCCTGCAGGACTTGTTAAATTGCAGACTTCTTGACCTCAGCCCCAGAGTTTCTGGTTTCTGTTCAGCAGAAACTGGGTGCATCCTAAGAACTGGCCTTTCTAACAAGTTCCAAGGCAATGCTGATGCAGTTGACCTGGGAGTCACAATTTGAGAGCCTCCACCTCAGAAAAGTGAAAAATGTAGAATGTAGGTTGTGGGCCAAGGTGTGCCTTGGGAGAGAGAAAAGGCACATCTTTTTCAGGAGATGACCAGAAATGAAAAAAGAAAGGATGAATAAAAATATACAACATTTTGAAGTAGGGTTAGAACAGCAATGATAGTCACTAGAATTGGTGAATTATGTACAAGAGTCTCGAAAATTGTCACTGTAGATTGTGAAATTGTGACAAGATGGACAGGTAGAGATGACACTGTGAGTCCAGTGCTGAAACCATCCAGGGAGGTNAAAAAAAAAAAAAAAAGTGAGTACAGTAATTGTGTGTGGGAAGGATGAGGGAAGGGTGGAAATGGGAATTCTCAGTTTAGGCCTTGTTATAGTTAGAAACTTTAAGCCACGTAAATATCTCACCTACTCAAAACAGAAAGTAGAATTTGGGGCAGCATCAACTTTTAGGAATAAAATAAAATAAATGCTACATAAATTAAGCAATAAAGGTTATTCATTTTATATAAATTTAAGATACAGAAAAAAGAGAATTATCCAGGTTTATTCAAAAGATGAACTGCTGAGGAAGAAGACATTTTTTAAAAGCACTGAGATGCAATTCTTTTAAACATGAACCTTTATACCATATTTTAAAGCTATATGATATTCTACAAATCTGGTGTATCCTTCATGCATTTGACAGAAGGTTTGATTCCTACCCTGACCCCACCAGGCAGGCAAACATAACTTGTAGTGGTCTGTAAAGGGGCCAGGCCATGACCTGGGCTGAAGTGGGCAGCCTGTGGCTTGGAAGACTTTCCAGGGAACAGGTGGTACGTCCCCAAAACACTTCACTTTGTGTCCGAGGATTCAGAGATGTCCAGGGTAAACCGACACTTTCAAAACCAACTCTAAATGTTTGTTTGCTTGCTTGCTTGTTTTTTATTTTTGAGAAGGAGTCTCACTCTGCCGCCCAGGCTGGAGTGCAGTGGCACGATCTTGGCTCACTGAAACCTCTGCCTCCTGAGTTCAAGCGATTCTCCTGCCTCAGCCTCCCGAGACGCTGGGACTGCAGGTGCATGCCACCATGTCCAGTTAATTTTTTGTATTTTTAGTAGAGATGGGGTTTTACGGTGTTCGCCAGAATGGTCTCGATCTCCTGACCTCATGATCCTCCCTCCTTGGCCTCCCAGAGTGCTGGTATTACAGGTGTGAGCCATCTCACTGGCCCCCAACTCTAACTGTTTAACAAAAACTAAGAATCATGCATAACAAGAGCTTCATCATGGACATACACATCGTTTTACAGGAAACTCAAACCCTAAATACATGTAATCTCCTTTGTTGCAGGGAACTTCCTCCCTGTTAGTCTGAAGAAAAGTATTACCATCTGGGACACATTCCTCTCACTTTCAGGAGAAGGGGCTTTACAGAAGGGTCTTTATTTACACTAGCAGCACCCCACTATGCACCTGCTGCATTTGTGAGACATGGGCTTTCTGGGCCACTCCACTGACTGCTGAGCCGGCACCTGATGACATTTCTTCAAGCAAGTTGCCTTAGCTGATCCATCTACTGCTCCACACCCGAGGTGGGGTGGGGAGGGGTGTCCTCTGATGGAAGGTCAGTGCCACAGAGAAACACTGGCCACTCAGAGTGACAAGTGCCCTGCTAAAAGAAACTGCATGCACAGCATTAGAGAGCCAGGTAAACTCATGTGAGGAGTCTGTGTTTGGGACTAAACACACACACGCGCATGCGCACACACACATGCCTGTGTTGAATCCCAGCTCTGTTACATCACTTTCTGGAGGTTGCTTCCCTTTGCCAAGGCTGCCTTTCCCTACATTAAGTGGGAACGATACGATTCCACCATAAAGAACGGTCATGAAATCCAAATGCAGTGATGAGCCCTAAGGCTACAAGTGTCAGTACTGTAGGTAGTAAGCGCTTACTAAATGCTGGCTCCTCCTCCGTAACTGATGGGAGTATTAGGAGCCATATAGATCTCTGGATAGTTCTTGAAAGCTGTCTCTAGAGGCTGTGTTTGGCAACATGTCACATGAATCTCTTGAATGAAATTCCCCTGACCCTTAGGTCTTTCAGGAGTAATGCCAGGGTCCTTCCTGTGAGCCTCTCAGCCAAGTGGGGCTAGTGGAGAGCAGAGATGGGCCTTGGCTAGTAGGGAGCAGGACACAAGCACAGCCCTGCGGTAAGGCAGACAGGGCTCCCTGCCAAGGTCGTCTGCTTACCGCACCAAGGCCCCTTCTACCCCTGTAAGCTCACCTGGCCCCGGGAACACAGGAGAGCTGGTGCTCCCAGAGGAAACAACCGGGGACAGAGCCCTGCGAGCCCCCTTCAGGGAGACAGTTCTGGGGCATTCTATATGGCTCCAGGCACCCCCAGGCTCACAGTGTCGACCCTGCTAATGCCCCCCAGGGACTACTTTTCCTGTCCCACATCCCCCCAGCTCCTCACACCTGCTTCCTTGTCCTGGGCTCTGCTTCTGGGCTAAAGACACCCCCAGTGTGGAGAGCTGTTTGGAATGCAAGAGAAGACCGAGGACTTGAGGCCCCTGCTGTCACTTCACTTACATCCCCAGGAGCGCAGGCCACTGCCCGTCAAATCCTGTCCCCGTGAGGCAAGATGATGACGGCGGTCGCAGTGGACACTTATTCCCGTCAGACACCGACCTGAGCACCTTATTATTAACTATTTTAATTCTCACACCAACCCCACAAATTACTATGACTGTCTTTGTTTTCCAAATAGGGAAACCGAGGCACGAGAAGCTAACTTTCCGAGGCTGCCCAGCTGGTAAGCAGCAGAGCCAAGCTTCCCGCTTGGCCAGCGAGCTCCAGAGTCCCTGTCCTCAAATCAGAAGCTGCATGGCACAGTGACGCCAAGAAAACAACCTGGAGGGCCCAGGCTGGCAGAAGTCGGGGGGGGGGGCAAGGACAAGGAGGAAGCCAAAAGCTAAGAACAAAGTCAGACGGACACCGAGGCAGAAGCCGGGAAAGCAGAGCATGGTCACCAATTGTTGGGGACATGCTCTGAGTGAGAGGGTTTGAGAACTGCCACTCGCGGGCCGGGGACTGCTCGCTCTAAAGGTGTCTCAGGCTGAAATCCAGCTAGACCTCTGCTCCAAGTCAGGGGCTGCGGCACAAAACACGGATCTTTGCTCTTTCTGTCCACAGCAGCCCTCAGCCCACCCCAAGACAGCAGCAGAGAAGCGACCCAGGTAGGGGCTGCGGTCAGTGGGTGGAGCCTCTGGTTTCCTAGGGAAGTCAGACCTGCTGGTTGCCATTTTCTCCATAAATTTCTCCCATGAAAGTCAAATATCTGCATTAACTAAATTTTTGATATTTTATGGATTGGTTCCACAAAAAAAGCACTTAAACAGCCCTTTCTGCTGACTTCCAAATTCCTATCTCACCTCCCTCTCATCTTCAATTAAAGTTTATCATCCTCTGTGTAAACCAAGAAGGTGTATGGTGACATTATTTAGTGAGTTTTATTTTATTTTAAATTATAAATAACAGCAAACTTCAAAAAATGCTTCCATTTCACAGTTATTCCTTTTCAAGATTTTTGGCCATAAACTAAAGCTAAAGCCAACCTCCAAAAGGCACAAGTGACATCTTAAACAAAAGCGCTGACCAAAGCGAGCCCTCCCCAGCTTCTTGGGGCATAAATTGGAATTTTACGCCATAGGCCAAGAGTTAAAACTATACCTTCCGATTTGCTTCCAATGTGATCTGTAATTCACGGTCCAAAGAAAAGTTTGGATTCATGCCAGAACAGCCTCACACACACAGCCATCTGCAAAGTCCCAAGAAGCCCTGTGTAAATGCAACCCAAAACTTACCCTTCCACGTTCTCAAGATTTCTAAAAGAAGAAACAATTTCCTGTCTCATACATGGTTTCCCTCCGTTCCCTCCCCCCTCCCCCTGCCCCTTCCCCTCCCTTCCCTTTCCTCTCCCTCCCCCTTCCTTCCCTTCCCTTCCTCTTCCCCTTCCCTTCCCTTCCTGTCTTGTATGTGGTTTCCCCCTCTCTCTCCCTTGTTTTCTTTCTTTCTTTTTCTTTCTTTCCTTTCTTCTCTCTTTTCTTTCCTTCTTTCCTTCCCTTCCCCTTCCTTCTCTTCCTTCCTTCCCTCCCTCCCTGCCTTCCTCCTTTTCTTCCTTCCTTTTTTTGAGACAAGATCTCACTTGGTCACCCAGGCTACAGTGCAGCCTCACCGTTCCATCTCGCTGTCTTGGACTCATGAAATCCTCCTGCCTCAGCCTCCTGAATAGCTGGGACTATAGGCATATGCCATTGTGCCTGGTTAACTTTATTTTGTTTTATTTTTGGTAGAGATAAGGTCTCGCTGTGTTGCCCAGGCTGGTCTCCAACTCCTGGCCTCAAGCAATCCTCCTACCTCAGACTCCCAAAACGGTGGAATTACAGGTGTGAGTCACCCTGGGCCTATGGCATCTTAATTTTTAAATTTTTCATCTCTTCTATTTTTTCTACATGAGGTCATTATTTTATTTAACATATATACACATAGTCACAAAGAGACTTAGGACTTCAGAATCAGAAAATGAATTAAAAAAAATACAATGTCCTGCTACAAGAAAATAATTTTTACCTAAAAAATCATGGAGAAATGGGCTGGGTGTGGTGGTTCAAGCCTGCAATCCTAGCACTTTGAAAGGCCAAGGTGGGCAGATCGCAAAGTCAGGAGATCAAGACCAGCCTGACCAACATGGTGAAACACCGTCTCTACTAAAAATACAAAAATTAGCCCAGCATGGTGGCGTGTGTCTGCAGTCCCAACTACTCAGGAGGCTGAGGCAGGAGAATTGCTTGAACCTGGGAGGCAGAGGTTGCAGTGAGCCAAGATCACACCACTGCATTCCAGCCTGGGTGACACAGCGAGACTCCGTCTTAAAAAACAAAAAATAAAAATAAATCATGGAGAAATGGCTGGGTGCCCATGCCTGTAATACCAGTACTTTGGGAGGCCGACGTGGGTAGATCACGAGGTCAGGAGTTTGAGACCAGCCTGACCAGCATGATGAAACCCGTCTCTACTAAAAATACAAAAATTAGCCAGGTGTGGTGCAGTGCTCCTGTAATCCCAGCTACTCAGGAGCCTGAGGCAGGACAATCACTTGAACATGGGAGGCGAAGGTTGCAGTGAGCTGAGATCTCGCCACTGCACTCCAGCCTGGGCAACAGAGCAAGACTCCAATAACAACAACAAAAAATCATGGAGAAAGAAAGTGCTAGAAGGCGATGGACAGAAGTTACTGTGATTGAAGAGAAGATAAGGGACTAACTGGGCAAAGCATTCACATGAAGTCCGTCATCACCCAGAAGGTTCGTCGTGAGTCTACACTGGCTCGCAAACACAGCAGCAGCTGCAACATTGGCTGCTCTTTCACTGGCAGGGTAAGGCGTGTAGACACAGTGTATCTGAGAGGCAGGGATCAGTCAGATTTTTAATTTCTCTCCTGCAGCCCAGAGTCTTGTACTGGGAGACGAAGCTTCCATTTGCTGTCATGGCGTTCCAGCAGACGCAGAGAGTCAGGTAAAACAAATACACAGGGGCACCACCTGGGATGTGTGGGGAGTATTGTCAGACTCTGCGTCAAGGTGCAAGGGGTGGGTGGGCTTACCAGAGTGAGAGGATATCTAGAGGGAATACATGTCTAACCTTGCACTCGGGCTTGAAAAAACATCAGCTTTAAGTGCTGAATTCTGAATGCATTTATTGGATCCAAAAATGTCTGCGTAGGTCTTCAGTGTGCCAGGCACTGTTCTCAGTCTGGGGGTGCAGCAGTGAATAAAACTGTCAAATAAACTTCACACAGTGAGAGGGTAAGAGACTTAATGCACCCCATAGGGCATTAGAAGGTGGTAAGCCGGGGAAATGAAAACGGGGGAGGGTTGGGACAGGCAGCGGCAATGTGAATGGGTCTGGCCTCACTGAAATGTCAACAGAACAAGAAGAGAGCCAGAACCACAGAAAGTTCCGACTGAGGCAGCGGCGAGGAGGAGTGTGGCTGGAGCTGAGCTGGCGAGGAAAATCCAGGAAGGCTGGCTCAGGAGTGGGAGGGGGTGGTTGCAGATGGGGGAGTTGGCTTTTAGCCAGAGAGAATGTGGAGTTTTTGGAGCATTTCCAATACAGGAGTGACAGAATTTGGAATGAGCTTTGAAAGGTTCACAAAAGTAGCTCAGAAGAAGTGGGGTTATGTGGCTTCTGCAATGTGACCCAAGATTTGACACAACCCGGAGAAAACTCCAGCCCCAGTAGGAAAATGGCCAAAGGCCATAAAGAAGTCACACAAGAATTCACAGAATATTTTCAGCCCCATGGTATCATGTGAGTAAACCCACACAGTTCAATTTCAGCACCAGGTGGGAACCTGCCTCCTATAAGTTAAATGAGATAAACGAAAATGTAATCATGATGTTGTTCCCTTTCACAGAAATGTGGCCTAACTTCTGAAATCTAATGAAATAACTTCACTTTGGCCAACAGGATCACTCAGCAACTGAGGCCTAATTTGAGGCCCTAACTCAACTATCTCATCAACTGCAGTTGCAATTAACAAAAAGTCCAGTAGGCAGAGCAGGGCCTGGACGATAAAGGTCTCACGCCTCGCCTGGGGCTGCCGTCGCTATTCCAGTGTCTTCCCCCCAGACCCCTCGGAGGTTCACAGACTGTCACACGTGCACACAACTCCAGCCACCTGCAAAACCAGCTCCCGTCAGGAAATGCGTGTGCTCTTTCCTACACAGTACAGTGAAAAGCAAAATCCTAACGTACTTCCCCATATAAAAAAAAAATAATAAAATGAGAAGACTCAGTTTTCTGTCTACACAACTGCAAAGACAAAAAGTCAGAGATGTGAACTCCAGACTGTTAACATATCTACTGAAATAAACGGAGCAGTTTCATCAGGAATGTGTACAAGCTATATTGCATACATATTGGCATCAATCATGAATAAATGAATTTTGGCTTTTTGCATTTCATGTATGGGACTTATTTACATGGCATATTGGCAAACTGGAATGTAAACTAATAATATAAATGATATTGCAAATTGGAGGCATCCCCAAGCTGCCAGAAATAGGAAGAAGGCAGTGTTTAAGTTTCTTCCAGTATGAAAAACTTATAGTGATAACCCAACTAATTCACAGTAAGGAGGAGAAGACGGAACACTAACCTTTAATAAATTCATAGGAGCTGGCCGGGCGCGGTGGCTCAAGCTTGTAATCCCAGCACTTTGGGAGGCCGAGGCGGGTGGATCACGAGGTCAAGAGATCGAGACCATCCTGGTCAACATGGTGAAACCCCGTCTCTACTAAAAATACAAAAAATTAGCTGGGCATGGTGGTGCGTGCCTGTAATCCCAGCTACTCAGGAGGCTGAGGCAGGAGAATTGCCTGAACCCGGGAGGCGGAGGTTGCGGTGAGCCGAGACTGCGCCATTGCACTCCAGCCTGGGTAACAAAAGTGAAACTCCATCTCAAAACAAAAACAAAAAAAAAATAAAAAATAAAAAAATAAATTCATAGGAGCTGCTTTCCCTGTTCTGCAGGTGCTGAAAACCAACTTATGCCTCCTACAGGCATCTCTGCTTAAGGGCCTCCCATATCCTGAAATACAGATACTACCAACCAAACTATAAATTAGATTGCTTTCTATTCCTATTTCTATTAACCACTTCTCTAAAATTTGCTAAAATTTGCTTATAAAACTAAACTTGGTGTCTTTTAAGAAATGGAAATTTTCAACTCTAATTTGAGTTCTTCAATAACTATTTCTCTGTTTCAATAACTATTTCTTCTTACGTTAATTTTGGCTCTATTATTTATAAACTAAGCCATTTTCATTTAAATCTTCAAATACATTGGCATAAGGTTGCTGATTAGGTCTGAAATCTTTTTTATATCATTGTCCTTTTTATTTCTCCATTATTCAAGTTTCTTCTCTTTTATTGTCATCAATAACAGGTGTGTGTACTTCTAACCCTTTTCAAAGAATTTCTGATTGCCTCTATTGTTTCTTGGATTTCAATTTCATTCTTTTCCTTTAATCTTAAATTGCTCTTTTTGTGAATGTATGCATTTACTTTGATTAACAATTTCAAAGGGAAATTTATCTCTGATGTTTGTGAGATGTGAAAAGTAACTGAAAACTGCAAAAACAAACAAAAAACTCCTAGAAGCTCCCACCAAAAGTTTGCAATAATTATTACTATTTCATAAGAGAGGTTGGGTGTGGTGGTTCATGCTTGTAATCCTAGCACTTTGGGAGGCTGAGTTGAGCAGATCACCTGAGGTCAGGAGTTCAAAGACAGCCTGGCCAACATGGCAAAACGCTGTCTCTACTAAAAATACAAAAAATCCGCTGGGCATGGTGGTGTGTCCCTGTAATCTTAGGTATTTGGGAGGCTGAGGCAGGAGAATCACTTGAACT